AAGTAAAGAAATAATTCCCTTTTTTTAAAAAAAAAAAAGAATTATTCATTTCATTTTATTTATTCCTTCATTTATTTTAATTTGACCAGAGAGAGACACAGAGAGAGACAGAGAGAAAGGGAAAGTGAGAAAGCAAGCCACCAGGTCTGGGACTCGAACCGTGCTTGGCCACATGGGAGAGTCCAGCACCTTAACCACCACGCCACCTGCTGGTCCCAAATAAATCATTCTTAAAAAAAAAAAAAGATGCATGGATGAGTGGGCTTTGGTACCCACATCGCCCTCCCTCGTTCCCTTATCCTGTAAACCTTTTTTTAAAATCGATTCTTTTTTTTAGAGAGAGATTTTTGCTATAGGGCATGTGTGCTTGCTGGGGACACAGAGAGACAGAGAGACAGAGAGAGAGGAAGTGAGAAATCATCCGCCCCTTTGGGGGGGTGGCCACACCACAGTCCCTTCTCCTTCATTCTCCTCTTGGGATTTTGGGCACGTGTGTGCATGCACCCGGTGTGAGTTTCAAGCTGCCGGGTCTGGGACGTGAACCATAGTCGGCCATGTTGGAGTGCAGAACTGTAACCACTATGCCATCTGCTCTCCCCGTCCTGCAGACGCTTCCATGTTTGCTCACAGGCCAGGATGTCATGCCAGTGCCCGACTACCTCCCTGCCTGCAATGTTCTCTGTACCTGAATATATTCAAGGTAAAGAACCGATTACACTATTTGGGAATTTTCAGGGTGTGAGAGTGTGTGTGTGTGTGTGTGTGTGTGTGTGTATGCATGTGCATGTGTCTATGTATGTGTGTTTGTCAGCATGTGTGTATGTATGTATGTGTGTATGTGTATGTGTGCTTGCGTGTATGTATGTGTGTATGTGTGTTTGTCAGCATGTATGTATGTATGTATGTGTGTATGTGTGTATGTGTGCTTGTGTTTATGTATGTATGTGTATGCACATGTATGTATATATGTGTTTGTGTGTACGTGTGTATATGTATATGTATATGTATTTGTGTGTATGTGTGTGCATATATGTGTATGTGTGTGCATGTGTGTTTTGTATGTATGTGTGTGTATATGTGTGTTTGTATGTATGTGTCTTTGTGCGTGTATGCGTATATATGTGTGCGTATGTTTGTGTGTGTGAATATGTGTTTGTGTATGTGTGTTTGTGTGCATGTGTATGTATGTATGTATGTGTTTGTGTGTATAATATGTATGTGTGTGCGTATGTGTGTGTATGTGTGTATTGCGATGTGTATGTGTGCATGCATGTGTACGTGTGTGTGCATGTGTGTTTGTGTGTGTGCCTGTGTGCATGTGTTTGTGTGTATGTGTGTATATGTGTGTGTATGTGTGTATGCATGTGCATGTGTGTGTGTGTGTGATTGTTATCTGGCACTCGCCCACTGACCATGAACTGTGAAGGGGTAGGACTCGGGTCTGAATCACTGCTGTGCCCCCAGCTGAGTCACAGGGCCCAGCCTCTGGCGGAGGGTGGGTGGCGCTGGGAGAGGGGTACCCTGACTGACTGCCGGACACGGGTCTGAGCCGCCGGAGTGGGCCGGACAGACGGGTACGTGACTAGGCACCGAGGGGATGAGTCAGTGGCTGGACGAGTGAATGAGTGAATGGCGGGTGGGATGGAAGGATGGATAAAGGACCGGGCGGAAGCATGGATGAATGGGCGGATGGACTGATGAATGGGTGCACAGACGAGGAGATCAGTAGATCAGATGCGACCGGCAGGTGGTGGTTAAGGAGCTGGACACTCCCACATGGCCAACCACGGTTCGAGTCCTGGACCTGGTGGCTCGCTTTCTCATTATCTCTGTCTCTCTTTGTCTGTCTCTGTCTGTGTGTGTGTGTGTCTAGTCAGGTTAAAAAATAAATGACTGGATAAATAAAATTAAATAAATAATCCTTTAAAAAAAAGATGCATGGAAGAATGGGTGGTTGAGTGGATGGGTGGGTGATGGATAGAGAAGAGAGGAGAATAGGGAGACGGATGAATTGATGGACATGGATGCGTGGGTGGCCAGATAAGTGGGTGTGGAGGGTGGCAGATACATGGATGGATGGATAAGTGGAGAGGGTGGGGAGATGGATGGATGGATGGTTAGGGTCGGTAGATGGATGGATGAATAAATGATACGGTGGGGAGACGGATGGATGGGGAGATGGGTGGATGGATAAACGGATAGGGTAGGTAGGTGGATGGATGGATGGATGGATGGATGGATGGATGGATAGGGTGGGGAGACGGATGGATGGATGGATGGATGGATGGATGGATGGATAGGGTGGGGAGATGGATGGATGGATGGATGGATAGGGTGGGGAGACGGATGGATGGATGGATGGATGGATGGATGGATGGATAGGGTGGGGAGACGGATGGATGGATGGATGGATGGATGGATGGATGGATAGGGTGGGGAGACGGATGGATGGATGGATGGATAGGGTGGGTAAATGGATGGATGGATGGATGGATGGATAGGTGGGTAGACGGATGGATGGATAGATGGATAGGGTGGGGAGATGGATGGATGGATGGATTGATAGATGGTAGAGGGTAGATAGATGGTAGAGGTAGATAGATGGTAGAGGG